ATTTTCTGAACATGCACAAAAACTTACATTTGCTTAAGTTTTTGTTCCAGAAGAACTATCTCCTACTGGTATCATTTGTTCAAAGGGAAAAAGTTAAAAACACTGACTAGAAGTATATTTTTACTGTCAGTATATTTTTAACTGTTAGTATATTTTTAACTGTTAGTATATTTTTAACCTCATAGTTTTTGGTCACATAACCATGCAGTTTGAAATTTTGGGATAACATTCGATATTACGAATGTGGAAAATTGCACACCAATATACCAGTTACTTTTTGTTGTGGCATTAAAGGACATGTTACAAATAATTAAATTTGTTTTTCCTGGACATGTATGGCCTATATTATCTGTAGCTGAAAATCCTGTATCGTATATCAAACAATATAATAACTGAATCATTGAACACAGGTATGTAATTTAAGTTGCTTCAGTTATTCTACAAGGAAACATTTATCTCAAGTACCAACCTAAAACAGCATTTTCAAAGTATAAGGGAAAAAAGCAGGGATCATATTCAGGTTCTCTTCTCAATGCTAATATTTCTTGCCTGAGAGTGAGGTCTGGGAGTTAATTTTGTTGGAATCCTCGTGTCTTCTCATCTTCAGAAAAATAGCTTATGCCATATAGGGCAACATTTGTCCTGAGCCAACAGGCTGCCTCGTGAGTGTATTTTGACTTGGACATTAATTAGATATTTTTTCATTTCAGTTAATGTTACTTTCTGACTCCTGCTTAGAGCTGAGGTACTGCTGACTCTAGGTTTCTAGGTCCCACCGGAAACCACAATTTAGAGCAGTTCTTCCTCAGGCCCTCACTTTCAAGATCACATGACTATTAAAGTTACCCTCAAAAAGAAATAAAATTTTAAAATAAGAACCTTTCTTATATGTGAGGGGAATGGGAGTGGCTTACAACTAATTGCACAGAAGTTAATAAAAATTTAATTACAAAGGACATATGATATAATGAGTCAGTTTAATAATTTTGTGCCTGGTAAAGAATTCAAGAAGATTTTCTAATTGATCAAACATAGCAAAAACAACTTTCAAACCCTAACCAGTGTGATAGAGCTTTCTTTTGAAGGCAATTTGATAACTACAGAAAAGAAAATATATCCCAAATTATGTTTATTCATTGAAAACTCTTGCAAACCTGGGCCTGGTAGCACCTGCCTGTAATCTCAGCTCTCTGAAGGCTGGGACAAGAAGACTGCAAGTCTGAGACCACTCTGTGCAACTCAGCAAGACATGTGGGGCAGGGCGGGAAGCACAAAATGAAAGAAATGAAATGAATGGCTGAGGATGTAGCTCGGTGGTAGAGTGCTCCTCTAGGAGCCACAAGTTTCTGAGCACTGAAAGGAAGGAAACATCTATGTACAATACTAGGCATCAGCAATTACCTACAATAGTTCCAAAGGGTGCCTAAAATTAAGTTCATCCCACAAAAACTATCAACATAAACATAATAAACTACAGAGCAAGCCCTATATTAAACAATGTCCATACATTTTCTTTAATGGCAGTAAAAATTTGTGAAAACACTCCCCGACACTTTTCACATCGTTACTTTTAAGAAAATGTACAAAACAAAGAAAAACAAAAAAAGAGAATAGATCTTAGCAGATAAATGCTAGGGTTTTGACTTTGAAATATCTGGTGTTGAAAACTTTCTTCTCTAGTAATAAGCTAAGTGGCATTGGGCAAGTTACCTGACCTCTCTAACTTAAATTTCCTATTTCTACAAAGGGGAATAACATCAATTTTGAAGTTTGGATGACAATATAAATAAATGCAATTAAAGGAGTATCTGGCAGAAAATAAGACCTGTTAGCTGTGTTTACTGCCAAAGCTGTTCTTTCTAGGGATATTCAATAACCATAAAAATCAGAAATAAGTAGAATAACCAGCATTAAGGGAAGTATGAAGCAATATACAACTAATTTATAGAGGTCATGATCAAATTTTATTAAAAATCAGAAAATACACTGCATAAATTCAAAAATTTTATATCTTCATTTTGTTAAATATACACACAAAAGACTGAAAAGAAATATAGCAAAATGTTTACTCTGTACTACTAATGCTACTTCTGTATAGTATTAATAATTTTATTTTCTCCCTTTTAAAAATTTCCCCAGACTTTCCATAATATGTGTATGCTGTATTACCTCTGAAATCAGAAAAAAATTAAATTGTTCTTGAAAAAAGTACTACTCTTTGTTATGTATTAATCTTGCATTTGCAGCTTAATGTCAGTTACAGACATTTCAATAAGAACTGAATCAGAAACATACTGGAAGTTTATCACCTAATTCTGAAAAACTCCCCGTGAAGTTTTCATAAGCTGACTCTGCAGAGGATTCTAAAGCTTATTTTGTTTAGGCAAACATGTTCAGCTTAAACTGGCATTTCTATCTCTTTTCCTACATTTAGATTTAAATACCTGAGATCCTCAGAGCAGCAAGGAAGGAAAAAAGACATAATGCAGATAACAATAAACCTATTACATTGATTTTATTAGCCTTTACTTCAGTTTTGCTTGAAATACACTATCAAATACTTACAGGGGACTTAGGTTTCTTATCAGCTAATTATCTCTGTGTTGAATGGTTTAATTCATCCAAAAGAAAGAGGGAGCCAAAACAGAGAGAGTGAGGGTGGTTACTGGTTATTTCTATTTTCTAACATCATTTTCACTCAATAATATAACGCTCCACCATGCTTTAAAAAGAGAAAAATTGTACAGCATTTTAGCGTTGATAAATATACTTTACTATGATGAAGTAGACTGTTGTATAGAATAGTAAAAGTACAGCTATTCCTACTATTAAGTGAACTGTAAATTCCATTCATTCACAACTTTAGAACTTGGGAAACACTCCAGAGATTATCCTCTATAATTTGTTCTAGTAATGACTTTTATATGTATGAACTCATTAACCAAAAATGCGCTGTAGGATTTTCCAGAGCAATAAACTACAGAAATTCAAGTGGATAAATCATTAGGAAAAGAAGGAACATTAAAGGCAAAAAGGGTTTGCAGAAAATTGTTAATTCTTTTCATCAAACCCAAACCAGACTGTTTTCTATGATTGTCAAATCTTTCAAAATTAAGCAAATTTAATTTACTTTTTTATGACATGGTAAGCAAAATCACCAGTGCTTTCAACGCACTGGCACAATGTGAACACACCCTCGGCGTCAGATCTCTGACTGATTCTAACTCACTGAAAAACAATGCATTTCAACTGGTCTCCATGAGAACAATGTCTACTCAAAAAGTACGCCCCCTAAAAGTGTGTGTGTGTGTGTGTGTGTGTGTGTGTGTGTGTGTTCCAATCTGTGCAACTCATCCGCTGGTCTTGTGACTTAAAGTGATAGGTGAAATGCAGCAAGAAAAATTCAAAGTTATAAACAGTTTGAACTAAAAGAGAATCAGACTAAAGTAGCAATGAATTTTGTTTTCAGATAAAAAAGTGGTTTATTCAATTCTAATCTCTTGCCAACCAACAGGTCCTGTGATTCCACATTAACACCCAGATTTGAAGCACACCAGTTTAATACTGTTCAACAAAGAACAGGCAAATGCTACCAATATGCTGAACTGAGAAGTATTTTAAAAAAGTAATAGCTTTTTTCTACATTTCTTAGTGAAAAACGATTACCAGCACCATCCATACTAGTTAATATTAATTTTATCCCTAAAACTCCAGAGTTTTACAATTATTTTTTCTTCTTCTCTGTGGAGAAAAAATCAACATGGATTAGCACGATTTCAGTACCAGATCCCGTTCTTTCTCCTACCTCTTCAAATTTTATCCACATTTGAGAGATTTAAAATCTTTCCTTTGTGACTCACTATTTTTGCAAAGGACTTACCATTCATAGACGTCCCAAAATTTATTTTTACTACTACGTGTTTGCAGTATGCGATGCTCCCACTCACCTGAATGAGCAGGCGCAGGTACTTGCTGTACTTTGATTCCTTTGCTCCCTTTCCCCTCCACTCCCTCCTCCTTCACTGTCTAATCCCCTTCCCTCGTTTTC